CATTCAAAGCTTTTAGATTACACAATTATCAATCTCCATTACATATAAAATTTTTAATTCTTAAATATTTTTAGAAAGTGAAAATTGATATAAAATTTAATTTTATTGCAACAACAAGAATATTGAACTAAAACACAATCACGGAATACGAACGCGAATCACACTTATGACTTTTAACTTAATTTAACTAACCTTTTCATACGTATTATTGAAGAAGAATATTGAACTCCTTTTTTTCTGTTATTCATGCATGCAGATTAATTGTTACACCCACTTGGTTACACCAACAAAACAAGATTTAAACGTCATAGATGATCAATGTACTTAGGGGAATCCTTTCTGCCGATCTCGAATATGTTGCGTAAAATTTGCAGCAGTATTCTTGCATCCCTCTACGACGAAGCATCTAGAATTCAATTTAATTCTTTTGACACGATCCATGGAAATCACTGACTATATTGTTCCAGAAATTGATGGAAAAGGTTCATTCTTCCAGTTATTTAAATTACTGTTCATGAAGCAACAACAAGAATTTTTTTTCTGTTATTTATACATGAAGATTTATTGTTATAGCTTGTGCGTATGAATTTTTGTTGTAAAATACTAGAGTACTACCATAACATTATCGAAGTGTTTTACCATAATAATCGCGTCATGCGAGGTAATTTAAGAAAAAATCACATTAGTTGGAGGTGTTGGTACTCTGGGAAATGACACTCACTCCTGAAGAACTTATTTTTTTCGTTGATGCTGGAATTTGATAAGAATATTGTCTAAGAATATCACGATTTCAAGGTTTGCTCTTAACGGATTTACTTTCTGTTTCAAAGAATACAAAAATGTTAAATAACAAAAGAAACAAATATTATGGTTAATTATAGCCAATGCGGATTTAGGCTTTACACAGAAATTTTTTTTCTTTGTTGCTTTGAACAAAACATTTCAGCATAAGACTTTTACGTTGGATGCTTTGTAATTTCGTATTCTTTCTGACCTTTGAATTTCTCATTACACACCATCAAAATGATAAATTATCTTTATTCAAATAAAGTCTTGAAAGTCAAAAATGTTCGATGAACTTAGGGGAATCCTTTCTACACATCTCCAATAAGTGTTGGATATGCAGCAGTATTCTCGCATCTCTCGACGAAGAAGCATCTACTAGGATTTAATATAAAATAAAATGTTTCTTAAAACTGTCGTAATATTATTTTATGTGAAATTCTGTTTTGGTTATACAAGAGATGTTAATCTCGAAATCAACGAAAATGAAACAATTGTGGATCTTTTGACACGATCCATGGAAATTACTGATTATATTGTGCCAGAAATTGATGGAGAAGGTTCTCATTCTGCCAGATATTTAATTCACTGTTCATGAAGAAATATTGACTGAAAATTCCCTTCTTAGATTTCATCAACATTTTGAGCCCAAAAATTATGGAATTACAACCACCATTTGATTTGTCATCGTACAATGTTTCATTGAAGTGCCAACAATCTTCAGAAGAATTTATGATTGCGTTAAACAAATTTGAGCTTTGGGCATTGAGAAGTGAATTTCTTTTGGATGAGTCTTTTGTCAATATTAATTTAAAGCGTCAATATTTTCAGTGTACGATGCGAGTGCGAAGCTTACGAGCGGAATTCTCAATGGAAATGTTAATCAATTTGGGGATTTCGACCAATGCTTGGAAACAATTATCGAAAAGAAATCATTTCAAGCTCAATATTGTCTCGCTTACATTCAGCCATCGGTTTCGTCAAATTTCAAGTATCTTAATTATTTACGGACTTTGGCGTTATCTTTTGAAGCATACAAAAGTAAATTTGAAGACGTAAGTAAATATTAAATCCAAACACAGCTTCCCGTGTCATCATGTTTCATTTTGGTTTTCTTTTATTTTATCGCGTCTTTTTCATTTAGCCAAGTCATGTTGTACCAAAAACGTCACAGATTCAATGGGGTGAGAATTAAATTTAATTAATTTCGTCAAATAATTAATATTCAATACACTTTTCTTAAAGCTTTTTGCATTCCTTCAACATGCACACATGAAGAACTTCAACATGTTTTGCAACAAAAGCTTAAAACTTTTATCAACAGTTCAATGATTAATTTTGATGTTGAAGTTAAGAAAGAAATGTGCCAGATAAGAGAAGAAAGCAAGAAATACGATTTAGGGACTAAACTTGCGTTGTGAGTTATTAAATCATTCAAAATGAATTAATCTTATTTTTCTATTCATTCTCTCAGATATTTCGTTGCATTTGTTGCATTAATTGCTTTACTCTCGACGTTTTATGAAACATATTCAGCATCTGAAAGTCAAAGTTTGTTTTCTATTTGTTGTCTTGTTTTCTATTATTAAACAATTTTATTTATAGATGAATGGTTGACAGCATTTTCTTTAAAAAAGAATTTAAAGGACATGATGTCGATTGAAGTTCCGAAAGGCGACATTGCATCACCTCACGGTGTCAGATTCTTCAGCATGATTATGTTGATACTTTCACATAGATCAATGGAAGTTGAATTTAATCCAGTGGCAAACAGAACTCAAATGTCACTAATGATTAAATCTCCATTTTCTGTCTTACTTCGAAGCAGTTCGTTGTACACGGACACGTTTCTGATGTTGAGTGGAATGTTAGTTGCATATTCATTTATTGGAAGACTTCAACGTGGACAAAATATTAACGTTCTTAAGGAAATTGCTGCTCGATACTTCCGAGTTGTGCCTCCAATGGCAGCTCTCTTATTATTCGGAACTTTTATTTTGCCACTTCTTGGAGATGGACCGCAATGGAACATGCTGATTACCAATCAATCAGAGATATGCAAACAAACTTGGTGGAGAAATTTTCTGATGATTCACAATTGGTTTGGCTTTGAAAATATTTGCATGACGCACACACATCACGTCGGAACCGATTTCAGTCTTTTTCTCATCGCTCCTTTCATGATTATGTGTCTACACAAATATCCAAAGAAGTCGATGAGTGTAATTTTCATACTTGCTTTGATATCAACGATCGGAAGATTTTACATAACTTATGCTCGAGACATGACTGTTTATGTTTTATTTGGAATTGAGTATGGTTGAATTTGTTAACTGCTTCTTAATAATTTAAGCAGACAATTTCTTTGTTTCTAGGATTTCGAAACTTTATGCAGAGTTGGGATTTGACTGACTGACTGACAGACATTGACTTGTCAGTCTGTCAGTCAAACGACTTGAGCGGAACATTTATATGAACGTGTCCCAACAAACGAATATTTTTGTTCGCGATTTTGACTGACTGACTGACTGACTGACAGACATTGACATGTCAGTCAGTCAGTCAATCGAGTTGAACGGAACATTTGCCCATCTCTGACTTTATGAGATTGCGAGTTTTATATGTACATATTGCCGCCTTATCGTTTTACTGTATACGCTATGGGAGTTGTGTTAGGATATCTCATGAGAACGCAGAAAGATTTCAGATTCACAAGAAATCAATTGAATTGTGGATGGGCCATTGCCACATTGTCACTTTTTGGAACATTGATTGTTTCATCGGTGATGAGTACTCACAATTATAAATTCGGCATTGCACATGCAGCCTTATTCTCATCAGTAGCTCCCATTCCTTGTTGCTTCTTCTATGCCTGGATGATTCAATTTCTTTTGTTTTGTAGATAAATTCGTGAACATCGCTGAATGGAGAGGTTTCCTTATTGCGACAAAATTATCTTATGGAATTTATTTAATACAATTTTCAATGTTCCATTTGAATATCGGAAGCAATCGAGGATCGAAATATTATGGAGCATTTAATTTCTTGGTAACATATTGCAAATGAATTTCAAATAAGTTTCAAATAATTCATGTTAAATCTAATTTGTTTCACATAGATCGACATGAATGAAATTATGTTGGTTTTGTTCGGTGCTGCAATATTGACACTGTTCGTGGAGTATCCATTTAGTAATTTGAAGAAACTTATATTTGATCAAAAGAGAGAAGTATCGACAAAAGACGTTGATCGTGAAGCTACAATTGAAGTGAAGAAAAATCATTGAAATTAAGACAACTTTTGAGTTAGATCAGAGTTTGTTTATTTTAAGTTAATGGAACATTCTAAGTTTTTATGTCTACCCTATGATATTATTGGTTATTGGATCTATTTCTAATTGCACATTTATTTTAAAATCGTTTTCACATTGAGATCAGAAAATATTGAAAGTTTGTAAAGTAAAATAAAATATCAAAAATTTTTGGTGTCACGTTTTCTTGGATTAGGAATCAAATTAATCTTTGACACATTTCAGCATTTTTGCTTGACTATGTGAAGTTATCTTGAACTCACACGGATATTCCAGCCATGGTTCTCCATCTGCTTGCACTGGACATCTTGCTTTCACTTTAATCTGTTTGATGAAACTTTTAATTAATAAGAATTATAAATTCATATCAAAATTTTACCTTCACTTCTTTCGCTCGTCCCAATTTTAACGGTTTTGTAAGTCCAACTTGCAATTGCGCGATATGAAACGAAGATGAAACGCCTAAGACTTCAACATATCCATCTGATGTTGAATGCAGTAATCCAAATGTTTTATCATTTTCTTTTGTCATTTCTATAAGCTTAACACCAGCTCCCCAACTATCGATGTTCAAAACAACAACTGCTTGAAGTTCCGGAAGATTTACTCGATTATCGTCTAATTAAACTTCGAGATTCTCATTTAATTGATCACAGTCTTGAAGTAAGATCTGATGCGTTCCATAAATAAAATACATGAGCTTATTCATTATTTTACTTTTGATCACATAAAATGCACTTTCGCGTGCTTTGTGAAAGTTCAATGTCACGAGTGCGTCTACTCCAAGACTGAAGTAATTATACATGAACATTTTTTTGTTTAGATGAAGACGTCTCGTGATCACTGAACGATTGTCATATTTAATTTCAAGCAACCACCTATCAAGTTGTGCTTCTTTTGCTCGTCTCATCTTATCAATAAGATTGTCAGGAGTTAGTAAATCATTGGAATCTATTTCCGAGCCCCAACCCATAACTCGAGACAAGTCATTTCCGGTTCCAATTGGACAAATTGCAACAGAAACTTTAAGATCTAATTTCATTTCATTGATGGTATTTAAAACTCAAGCTACTGACCCATCTCCGCCACAGACAAAAATTCGACGGTACCGAACTTAGCTACAGATAAAAAAAATACGAAAACGATTTTTAAAATTAAGCATGAAAAGAATTTTTGAATTAAAATCTAAAATCTATTTAGATTCGGATTAATTCGCCTTAACAATTTCCAATGCTTCTGCAGGTCCATAGGATGTCATTGAAATTATTTGAATTGGATTTAGAATGGAACGAAATAAGTTTGCTA